GGGGGGGAGGAGGCATAGCCTGTCCTGTATAGTCTACAAGAACAGGAATGAGACACAGGAGGTGCAGCACAGGAGACTTTAGAGTTCCCAAGTTTTGACTGTTCAGTAAGTGGCCACATCCTGTTCACTTTGTGTGAATGGTATTAGGGCTCATCTTCACACACAGTTGTACTGGTTTAATTAAAAGTGCAATTTCAAATAGCCATATTGGTACAAAAAGGCTGTTTGAGCACTCAGATATAAACCTGGTTTACAGTAGTTTAATTTAGGTTGATTAGAAATAGGTTTTAGTTAGACTGAAATAAATCACTGAGAGCAGCTACACAGGGCTATACACTGATTTAAGTTAAACCAGCGCAATGTGTATGTGCAGAAAAAGCCTAAACCTCTTTGCTGCCTTTGGATCTGGGTGCTAATTAGTGCAAACTGCAGTGAGTATTTGACATATAAAAATGTTTTAAAACAGATTTTAAAATAATCCAGGAACAAAAGGGTAAAGTATGCAGATTGACCACCATTACAGATAAACACCACTACTGTACTGTTAAGGAAAATCAGCATGGTAGATCATGTATGATGTCAGGAGTGAACCCCCATAAATGAGGACAAAGACTGGACCTGTGATACACACACATGGAATCATGAGATATGGGTTTTGCTGATTTCCATACACATGACTTACCATTGTAGGCAATTGTTAAAATAAACAGTGACTGTGGAAAAACAGAGACCCCACTAAACAAAAAAGCCTTGTTGACTAGTCCACCAACCAGGTCAAAGATGTTTGTGTATATACAAAGTAAACAATTCTAAATTTGTGATATATCAATTTAGTCAGAAAAGAGAAATAGATATTTAGTATTTCTAGTTATAATGAGTATATTTAATTAGAACCAATTTAGGAATTCTACTTTCAAAAATCACTGTCTAGAACAGAGGCAGGGCTGTGATACTGTACAATAAACATTTAGCTCCCAAGTAGCAGAATTATTACTTTTAAAAAAAAATTCAAAGATGCAGCTCTCAGGCACTGAAGGCTTTTAAAGTAGTTTCTACACTGTAGATTGAGATTATACATATGAAGAATAAAAGGACAGGATATTCAGATTTAATCTGTCTGTGCAGATAGCTTGAAACGTAGTGACAATGTCAGCAGAGGAACCAGCTACAATCGCTAACCCTTGACTGAAACCAATTTACCAAGTCGTGTTGTACAATGACAGGGAGAAAGGGAGTGTATTAGGCTTTTAAGACACTAGTTACTTATTTCCGAAGTTGTGCAAGCTCCTTCTGTCATGTTCTTAAATAAAAGTGATGTGGTATTAGCCAAGATTGATTTCTACAATCAAATACAAAACCGATCCTGTAGCCTTTACTCAAGTACATCCCTTATTGATTTGCATAAGGAAAGACAGCGGTCTACACTTTGTAACACGAGTGCCAAAATTATACATGGATTTATAATTGTTTTTAGATTGAGGAAACAAAGACCATTCCCTAGAATGAAAATTTATATATCTATATCTATATATAGATATATAAATAAAAAGAGAGCTGTCTCTCAAATAAAAATAATGGTTTCGTTGACAGGTGTGATATTTAAAATTTTTAGCACCTGACAACCTTCCTGGCACAGTTTTAAAGAAAAGTGTCTGGTTTAAAAGAAGGGTTATGTTTCTATTACGTGCAGGTTATGTATCAAAAAAAGCTTTATTTTGAACAAGTTCTCCATTTGGTTTTACAGTCTTAACATACATCATATTCATGGACAAGCAGCATTTTACAGAGGAATCAGATTTGAGACTAATACAAATAAGAGGAAGTCACTTGGAATTATGAGTTTATTTAAAATTAAGCATATCCAGACATCAAAAGGTACCATATGCTGTCATTTACTTGAGATTAAGAAATTTCATGAGCTAAAAGTGATGTTTTTCAACAAAAGAAATCTTGACATTTGGAAGTGGTCATGAGTAGGTACCTTTCAAAAAAATATTCCTTGTTCTACACTTTTTATATGGGGAGAGGGGGCTTAGGATAATAAAGTGAAGTTTGTCCATTTCCTTTAATAAGCCTAATTAGCAGTTTTAAATGGCTTTAAGGAAGTGACAACATTTGTGCCAAATCCTTTTAAAAGTTCATATTGAACAATTTCACTAATGTAGTATGCAGTATTACAGATGAGGCTACAATGAAAATTGAGTTCGTGCTAGATTTGTGCTCTGTGCTCTCACTAGTCAGGTTGTGGAAATGTACAAACTGTAAAAGTTTTTCTTCCTTGTGATATTCAATGACATCCCCATGGTTTGCTATCAGTGTTCCTGAATGCACATTTGAGTTACATTATTAATTCACAAGGCCACAAAATGATGCATTCAGTGGATTTCAATGAGAGGGAGAAAAAGTTTGAAGTAAAATAAAGCAAAGCACAAGAGATTGTGCTCTTTGCAATTCACTCGGGATGTGTACAAGGTTTAGGTCTTGTTTACAAACAAAAGCTGTACCAGGCTAAAATGATTTAAATAAGCTGGTACAAATCACTGTGTAGACACTGGCTTATATCAGTTTAGCTAGTTAGCATCAGGACTTTGTGATGTAGACAAGGTCTTACACATGCTTTTTGCCACGCAAAACATAAGAAAATAATCCCTGATTATCTGTAGACATTGCCTAAATGCACATGAATACTGTCCCTATCTTGCTGAATCTTGCAATCTAACTAGAAAGGGGTATTAAGTAACACAGAATGTCACTGAAGAGAAAATGGGTAAATCTTAACATGTACATTGAGGTGAATTAGAGGGCCAAGTTAACAATCTCAACCTCTCAATTGGTGACAGGGCTACACCCAGGTTTCAGCTCATTGTGATATTGCCATCCAAGGTCCTCGAAACATTGTTGAAGTCCTTGAGGGGACAGTAAGCCAGGACCTGATTTCTAGTGTATTGAAACATAGAACATCAAAGCCATCTTTACACATCTTACGGTACAGTAAGAGAAAAGCTTCTTTTGCTTTCCCATTAGCCTTTAAAACCAAGTTTCTGTATGTGCTGATTTCCCCCCAACCTGGTTAGTGAAGGCATTCTGCACAAATGGGGGAATAATTTTTATTTTGGCCCAAAAGTTCACCTTTTCTGCTTCCCTCCTTCAGTATTATTTATCACTATTTGCCAATTACAAGTGCCAGCGAGTGCGGTCTTTTCCTATGTTTATCTTTTCGGGATAAAAGAATAGAAACTGTAAGTTAATTATTAGCCTGGCTACAAAATGTCTATATCCACTGTATTTAGATAGAGCTATTCTTCAACCACTTTTAGTCAAGTTCTCATTAATACAAGGTTTTGAAAACACTAGTAGCATTAGTAAATTTCCTCCCTTTCTGAAAGCTAAATAATTCCTAATGTACAGGAAGTTGTAACTGGTGGATACTTTCTGTAACTCATTATGCTATTTCATGAATTGATAAGCAGACCAAGTCTGATTATACATCTACTAAAGTCAGCTACTGTACAAGTTATATAGCACTTAAGATGTTCCAGCAACTCGTCAGTTAGAGGCTTTAGAGCTAGAAGAGGCACTGAATTCCATAAAACGTATTTTGCTTTATGAAGTACAGTTATGATTCACAGTTGCAATGAAGAATGTGGACAGAGTAAGCCTAAAAATATCTTAACTTAAAAATGTAATAAAATGCTCTTGTCCATTAGCTTTGCTATGCAAGTGCTTTATGTAGGAAAAGATGCTTTTAACTACAGATCAGATCTTCTCTTAGAAGTGAGGAACAGATGGAGAAGGTACACTGTACTTTTCACTAGCGCCCAACTTACCACTTATCCTGAATACGGATATGCTTTCAGTTAAAGGACAGCCAATGGAACTTCAAGTAAAAGAAACTTTCCATGAAGGTGGATCTGATACTCAGATATTTTTTATACAGAACTCATCCTGCTGTATGGAGCATGAGCGTTTGCATGATAACTTGATGTTCTGTTATAAGATACTGCACTCATAACTTTAGCCTGAATACTGCACTATATACACTGTCCCTCTAAGGAATCACCTGAGGCAGGTAGGTGTGTGTGTGAAGAATAAAAAAAACCCCTTAACTATGAATTCTGGCACAGCCAGGAGTAGCAACTCAACTACTCCAGAGGGCTTAGAGAATAGGCTTTAGATTTTACATCAATGAATTGGATTTATTGTAAATGCCACAGTCACAGTGATAGACAGTGCACAGACTTCTATTAACATACATATTTTTGCAACTTAGATTTCTACTGAGTAAATAAATGCACTTTGCACAGCCTTCCTTTAAATGTGCCTAAACTAACCTAAATAAGCAGACAGCATAGCAGAAAAGGGAAACTTAAATTGTAACTGTCTCTTAAGCAATATAGCACTTTATCCATGTATATAATATACTATTTTATATTATATACACAGGCATGCACATTTTCCTTAACAGTTAATTCATACCTGAATGTAAAAACTTGCACACCTCCAATACATTTGCCACCTTTACCGCAAGCATAGTTAATCCAGCTATTTGTCAAGAAAGAGGAATGACAGTTAAAAAAAGACTTCCCCCACAAGAAACAAGTTACACAAAGTATACTGTATCACTACAAATTTTTATTCAGAAGCCCATCTTTTTTAAAAAAAATCTCATTAGGAACTTGTTTGGTCAATTGACTACAACACTTTCTACCAGACACAATAGTAAAAATGGCATGGCTCAGAATCGACCAGATCTTTCACGATCTCTTGACCGCCTCCTATCACGTTCCCGTCCTCCTCCTCCTCCTCCTCCACCGCCGCCACCACCGCCGCCGCCTCCTCCTCCACCACCTCCACGACCACGATCTCTGGATCTAGAACGACGTTCACGGGACCTTGACCTGGATCTATGCCTGCAAAAAAGCATTAAGATTGTAGTTCTTAAATATGGTGAAACAATGCAGCAATATTCTACAGCGTACCAAGGATCAATTGTTCAAACGAAAACACCAGAAAAGGGAGTAGAGTTTGAAATAAAGTAGTGATTAGGTACTGCCACCACCTAAGAACCTAGCACTTTCAAGCCCACAAGGCCATCATTACAGAATTCGTCAGTTTTAGACAGTGAAGGGTCAGTATGTATAGTGAAAACTGTTAACTGCAGTCACTTGTCTGAATGGCCAGAAAAGGGTCAGTTCCCTGTAAGTACCCCTCTAAGTTAATTGCACTGTTACGCAGAACCAGTTGGAGCACTGTGAGAAGTCTTTTGTAGCCATTTACAGATTTAACGGTACATTGCAAGTCTAAAGCCATAGGGACGGCTATATATAAAAAAACCCTAACAAATCAGGATTTTCTGTACTGAATTTCCAAAGTAGCATGAGGCCACAGCATTGTCCTCCTCTTCAGTTCCACCTTCTCCATCACCAACATAGTAAGGCCAGTGAGCTGCAAGAGCCAGCCTCTTAAGAAGGAAGGTCACAAAAATATTTGAGAAGAATTTTGAAAAGCTTTAGCAAGTCAGTTTTATTACCAAATGGAAAATTATACATTTACTTTTTTTAAAGTTACGCTACTAAATATGAACTACAGAGTTTTTTATTTATAGGCATTGCTGTGGAGCTCAAAGTCGAACTGAGTAACTGTGTTTGCCCCAACTTGTGAATAGACCAAATTTGTATTTCAGGGGAGTTTGGTGATCTAGGACATGAAAGAATGATGCATTCTGGTGTGTCACAGCAAAACTGTGTGGTGCTGCTTTTTTTTTTGGAGATAGGGTAGAAATGTATCTGTGTAAGGCAAAAGATGAAAAAGCAAGATCATTTGTGCTGAATGTTTACTTTACCCCTTGTAATTTGGGACATTTGGCACAAGTCTCATTTTGGTTACAATACTTGCAGGTCACCTTTAAATATACATAATACATTCTTGAAAATCCCTATTCATAATCTCACAAGAAAGGATGAGGAAGGCTTTTCAGAAAGAGAGGCCAAGCTCAAGTGTTTCTGACTAAGGGAAAAGAGGTCAGGAACCAGAAAAGTAACCAAATGGCTCTTAAGTCAGCAGCACATTTTTTACAATATTATAATGTTCTTAGTATCCCTGACACTTTCCATTTAAAATTAAATAATACTTAATTTCTCAGGAAAGCAGGAAACAATGCAATATGAATTTTTCACAATTAAGTTTACTCCTCCAATTCCCAAAATACTGCAAGACAATTTAACAGCATTTTTAGAAAAATATGAATTTTTGTGTTTGTGAAAGTGTTTAATTGATAATACTGGAAAGTGAAGTCTTATCAACAAAAGAGGTTTCATACTGATAGCAGCAATGCAACGTTCGCCAACATACCTGAATTAAGATTAACAGAAACCTTTTTGCCACTGCGTAGAACTCTGTCTATTCACAGCACGCCTACCAAGGGGGAACAGTAGCACCAACTGATATGGAATTTTGTGATGTTGGCAACTGTCCACTAGGAATAGAACCAAGATCACCAACTCATCTGACACATGCACCAATCAGACATCACTTTCACTTTCCCCAACATGAAATGGATATGAACTGATTGGAAACTGTACTTCACATTACTGACTCTCTCTGCCACCCTCCATTTTTGATTATTTTTTAAATTTGCCATAAAGCCAGATTAAGATTTGAATATTTACAGAAGAGTCAGATTGTGATTCCATAACAGAACTGGATCGGGAGAGGAAAAGATTACTTAAACAACTTTCCTCAAAGTCAGATCCTATTCTTCATGTCTTCAAAAAGTTTAGGGAAAAAATCCCTAAATTATTTGCATCAGTTGGCTTTAAATTAAAAATACAAATGCTTACTTCTTACGACGACGTCCATATAATTCACGTCGCAATTCTCGGGAAATGGGCTTCAAATGCATAAAGTTACAGAAACCTCCTCGCGTACACTCTCTGTGGAGTAGAAGAAAATTACCACAAAGAAAGCATTTCCAATTTATATTCTTAGCTTTTCTTCTATATAAACCTGTGGTTACGTTAACTGATCTGTGATTTTTTAATGTAACATTAAACATTGGGAAGTATGACTCTTGGTAAAATATCTTAATTGCCCTGAAGTCAGAGTTACACTTGAGCATAATTTACATGGAATTATCTGTGTGCCTGGTGCATGAATGTCCAAAAGTGAAGAGAAATTTTTTGTAGAGAGGAAGAGACTGAGTGCACATGGGTGCTATGGCATGTGAATTGAGCTTGCTTTAGAATCTAGATGTTAGTGTAGCTTTAAGTGTATTTTCTCTGAATGCATCGTTTGGAAATGCACTTGAGAAACCTTACACTCATGAAAAGCTTAACTTGGAGGTATCTCTAAGCTACTATAATAAATAAGCTGTAGCAAGTATCGTTTCATTACCCCATTTCATATTGACGGCAACAAGCTTCTCTGAAGTCAGTCACAGGTGAAAGTTCAGCATGAATTGGCTGACCATTAAACCAGCGATTGTTCAGATCAATCACAGCCTTTTCTGCATCTTCTTCACGACGAAACTGAGAAATAAAATAAAATTAACATTCTCAAAATGTTACATAAATGGTAATGTTCGATCTATTTTAATTCCCCGCTGGATATTTAACACATGCTCAAGGCCAGCAATAAAACTAGAAGCCCATTTTATATTCTATTTGCCCCTACTCTTAAGTGGTGTCTTAATAAAACATATGTGGGTCTATTCAGTTTATTATTTAAGCAGTAACATTTTAAACATGAATAGGCAATCTGGAGAGAACTTAGTGGTTTCTCTTCAGACTAAAGAATTTTGTTGAACATTAACATTCCATGTTTAAAAGACTAATTGGTCTTGCAGGCATTTGTAAGGAATATGAAATAAATATCATCATAACTTGCAAGTATATCAGATTGAGGAATACAAAATCGTTATCTAACTTACTATTTACTGGACAATTAGAGTTTAAAGAGGCTGTCAGGCATTTTAGACCATGAATTTATGTTCTCTAAGAAGGTTTGATAAACACTTAATTCAAAAGATTAAGTGTGCAAGAACAAGGTTCTGTGAGATTTAAACCAATATCCCACCTTTCAGTGTTTACACTCCAAAACAATACACAGTGCTAATTACATAAGAACCAGAAAGCAAAACTGACTGGAAAGTAAGCATGTGATAAATACTTTTTGAATTTCATCAAAATTCTGAGAGGACAGTCAGAAGTCTGAGTGGGCAATGAAAGGGGACATGCAACTGGGACAAGGATTGAGGTTAAGAAGGGTGTCAGGATAAATCCAGTAATACTTAAAATGGCTGTATGCATCTCAGCAATTTTGTAAATACCCAGTTACTCTGCCCTGCCTCCCCCCCGCTTTCAGGGTCAGGCTTGTACAAATGCCATTTCATTTAATCTGTTTTTTACACCTATTCCAGTTTGCGTAATGATCTCATCAACATTATGAAAAAAAAATCTAGTCTCAATGGTCAAGTTGAGCAAGGTGCAAAGAGTAGGCAAGTTATGACAGTTCTAATAAATTCAACTGCTAGCAAGATGGGCAAGAATTTTTAAAGTATGATTTCCATCTGATTCACCCCTTTAAGTATACTGTACTTCTAATTTTAAAGTTTACACAGTGTAAATATTCTATTTATTACATTTCACAGGAAGACTAAAACAAGCTAACAGTCTTGCAACATCTGAAAAAAACTGACTGAAATTTTATTTAAAAAAATTTACTTGTATTGTAGTTTAACCAGTTGACACACAAATTAACACACAATAAGACAGTTCAGTATTTTTTACTCGAGTGGACTGAGCTGATCCTGGTCACAATTAAAGTCAAAACTGAACTCAGCTATTCTAGTCTTCTCCTTAAAACCATCTAGTGTGACTGTTCTGAGAGGCTTCAGAGGAAGTGCAAAACATTGTGTAAATGGAAACTCCTCTCAAGTGCATTTGTTGAACACAATCAGGCCCTTCTCCAACAACTAAGTAATTAACATTTAATCGATCATGTCACAATCACACTTGTAAGTTAACAAATTTTATAGTTCACCACTCTAAATTTCAATGCCCAAATGTAAATCAGACAACCGTTCATCTATGTGAAATATCTTCACAACTAAAAAGGTGAGCTCAAACTTCATGAAAACAAGACAGATTCAACTGTAAGGGGATGTATTTCCACTCTGTCTGGTTTGGATTCTAATATATATAGATATAGATCAGGGGTTGGCAACCTTTCAGAAGTGGTGTGCCGAGTCTTTCTCATTCTATAAGTCTATAATATATAAATAAACTATTGTCGTATGTAAAGTAAATAAGGTTTTTAAAATGTTTAAGACGCTTCATTTAAAATTAAATTAAAATGCAGAGCCCCCCGGACCGGTGGCCACGACCCGGGCAGTGTGAGTGCCACTGAAAATCAGCTCACGTGCCACCATCGGCACACGTGCCATAGGTTGCCTACCCCTGATATAGATAGAGATAGATATATAGATATAGACACACACACACACTCCAATGTACAGGTATTTACTTTCATAAAGGTGCCACCATGTTTTGAAAATGTTAATTGTGTATATTAAAGAAAATTTGTATTCATGATGTATTGCAGAGGTGCTTTTGTATCTTACCTTTACATATACATTTCCAACTAGATGATCTCCAAGGTTATCACAAACGTTCATTTCCTCAACTTCACCATATTTTTCTTCCATTTCCGTGAAGACCTCCTAAATATAGAGAAATTTATTAAAAACATATTATGCAAATTAGATGGATTAAACATACCTACAAGACAATTAATCATTACTAAGCAGGAAGACTATTCTCTCTCCCAACACCCTTCATACCTTTTTGTTCTAAGACTGTAAATTTCTGGGAAGGCACTGTATCAGCCTGTGTGCATTGACAATATCTAATACACTGTGAGTATTACATGGATAAAGTAATTAACTACACAACTAAAAAGTAACTTTTCTTTATTTAGAAAATGAGATATACAAGACACTAAAGCCATGTCTTTTGGAAAGAAAAGCCAATCTTCCAGTCAACTACACTTAGGGCTGGTCTACACTGGGGGGAGGGAGGGGGGGGAAAAATCAATCTAAGATACGAACTTCAGCTACGCAAATAGCGTAGCTGAAGTTGAAGTATCTTAGATCGAATTACCTGGGGTCCACACGGCGCAGGATCAACGGCCGCGGCTCCCCCGTCGACTGCGCTACCGCCACTCGCTCTGGTGGAGTTCCGGAGTCGACGGTGAGCGCGTTCGGGGATCGATATATCACGTCTTAACGAGACACGATATATTGATCCCGGATAAATCGATTGCTACCCGCCGATACGGTGGGTAGTGAAGACGTACCCTTAGGGTGACCAGATGTCCCGATTTTTGGGTCTTTTTCTTATATAGGCTCCTATTGCCCCCTACCCCGTCCCGATTTTTCACACTTGCTGTCTGGTCACCCTACACTTCAAAAATTATTAATTGTTTGCTAACACTGAAGTATACTTTTTAACTCAACTGTGTGAGGAAAAAACAGAATGGGAGACACACCAAAAATAGACCATATAGTATTTTGTTTTGAAACTTAATCCAAGGTCTAATATAAACAATAGAGTTATATGTAAATTAAATAGAGACTACAGCAGGGACTATATGTTTAATATGTAAAACTGAAGTTATACAAAAAATATCTAGACACTAACAGGATACACATTTCAGTCAAGCAACCAAATGTCTAATTTGGGTTTTCTCCCCTCTCCACTATCCTTCCCTGATCACTCCCAGCATCCAATCTTATTATCATTTAAACAGTACACTCTTTGGGGCAGGGAGTGTTTCTTGTAATGTGCATTTAAAGCACTATTTATCAGAATTAGAAGTGGTAAATCGGAGAGAATTAAATCTTCCTTTTTCGGTCCCATCAAGGATTAGCTGGAGAGTTTATTTTTGTAATTTTTCACTGCCACCAACTAAACTTTATATGTTTGCTTTTGAAGAATACAATACATTTTAAACAGTGAATTTCAACATACCTCAAAGAATTCATCATAATGTTCCTGCATTTCAACATCGCTCACAGCACCTGCAAATTCCAAGAGTCATACTGATTAGAATCAGTATTTGAATGACAAGACTCTGAACATACTACAAAATATATTTTAGAGAACAGAAGTAGTCATCTACCGAAGCATAAGAGATGCCATGTAGTTAACCATTAAGGAGTATTAAAAATAACTGAGCAGCTTTGAGTCCCAAAAGAAAGGAATATCTCAGTACGTGATACTAATATGGTCAAATCAAGACAAGTTTTAATCAGCATCCAAATGGTACATGCCAAATTTAAGGGGAAAGGATTTACTTTGAAATGTGACTAATTAAATGTAGAACCCCACCCTCTATCTGCCAATGGTTTACCTACACAGAAGGCAAGTGCTTTGTCACGTCAACTATTTTAAAGCATGATTACTATTAAGATTTCTCTTCCTAAAGGTGGAGCTTTGTTTAAAGATGTTCACTCCTCCAGTATAAATACACTAGTTTGAGAAATCACTGATGTGATTAAAACTGCAGCTCATCGTGATCCATTGAATTTGTTCAGAATACAAGATACGCTTTTCTTGTTCCCTCAGTAAAGAGTGAAACTATGTGGCTTTGTGGTAGAAAGCATTTCTCCATTTTATTTTTAATGCCAATTTATCTTTCTGTAATACTGCAGAATGTTTTTTTTTTAAATGCGAGAGAGGCTGGCCATATATTCACATTAGATCATATTCATGCTCCTAGCTGGCCTTTGCAGGTGAGTGCTGCTTGCCTGCTGCTAAAAAACTAATGTAAATTAAAATTTTGCTCATTTTTCGAAGTATTAAGTATAGCAAAATAAATTACAATAGATATTTTCAGTTCTACACCATTTTACCATACATTTTATTTAATAAGTCATATACATTAAAGCCAGATTGATTAAGTCTTCAGTTAAATGGCTTTATTACGATCAAGTAGAGTAGCTTTAAAATAGATGTGGCACTTCATGCAAGAACAACGTTTTAACCTTTAAAATGCAACACCATTGCTTTACTGAGCAAAACCTGCAATATGACAGGAGGATGATCCAATAAAGCTATGTTTATTTGCCTCAGTCGCTGTGCAAAAACAGGTGCTCTGAACCCAGTCATTTCTGGATCACAGTGCAAATCATGCCATTTAGAACAGCTTTTCATCTTTACTGAAAGATGCTTAATATTAACCAATCAAGCTACCTAATCTTCGTGGAACTATGGACAATTTTTCTCTATAAGGTTAAAGGGACACTGGTCAAGTAGTTTAGGCTCAAGATATTTGACCTTCCAGATTCAACATGTTTGCTTTTCAAGAGACCCTTGCCTATGCAGCAATTTAAAAAAACTCCCAAACATTTAGTCAACATTCACTACATAGAAACAGTTTAATAACTAATCATATTCCCAGGGCTGTGCCAAAATCAACAATGATAGCACACTAACATCTGAGTGATTTAAAAAAAACCCATCAGTTTGGGCTCCATAGGAAGAAAGGGGCATGATCGAAGTTTACCAAATGGGAAAGTGCTGAAAACTGATATGGACATTCCACTGTCAAACTAAGATTATAAAAAGAAATGTAAAGAAATTGGAAGTACTTGAGAGTGTCCCTCTAAGGTGGAAAGGGTAAGCATCATACACAGACTTCACAAACATTCAAGTTCCAGGGCTACCAGTGTCTGAACCTTGAGAAGCCCAACTACTAGATAAAATCAAGACTATTACTGGTCAAAATTAACATTAATCCTCTATGACAACAATGGAGAGGAAAACAGTAAAGCAACAACATTAAATAGCTACCCATTAAGAATATATGCAGTATTTAAATAGGGACAAAGCTGAAAAGATATGGGAAGGGTTTCAGCACACCCATTGATAAAATAGAGCTATAACTCTTACCATACCAGGTATAGTTAGGCTCTGTTATACAATTATCCATCTATCAAGACAAACTAAAGTTTAAATATTAATATCCAATTCTAGTTTGGAGAATCTGTTTACCTAAAGACTCCTGCAAACTCCAGGAGGGTCTGGGCAAATAAAGTCTAAACAGCTGCATGGCAAACCAAGCAACTTTAATTCTGTGCAAATTAGTTACCAGCTCACTGAGAATTTAGCTGATGTGTAGGAAGTATCCAACATCCAATTGCATATTTTTAGCAATGCACAGATAGTAACACCGTAAACATCTATAACAAAAAGCCTACAGGCCAACAGAACTTTATAAACCCATACAAACTTCATAAGCAACATTCTACTTCTAAAGAAAAGCCCCAGTTTGACAACTGACATTAAGTGTCAAGTTGATCTAATCAAGTGCATTAGTTTTGTTATAAGATATGCTGTTTATGCTATCCTATAAGTTGTTTATCTTATGAATCACATTTCACTCTGAAATTAGGATTTGATTTCATAAAATAGAATGTTGTCTAATTAAATACTAGTAACTAGTGTTCCTTCTAATTGTTCCCACACATGTGTGGAATGAATTTTGTTATGTGCACCAATATGGAGGTGATGTGTGACACAACCTTCATTTTGGTGCACACAACAAAATTCATGTGGTGGGCTGCAGGCAAGGATTTGGAGAGTGGGAGGGGGCTCAGGGCTGGGCAGAGGGTTGGGGTGCAGGGGAGTGAGGGCTCTGGGGTGGGGCCAGGAATGAGGAGTTTGGGGTGCAGGAGAGTGCTCTGGGGCTACGGCAGGAAGAGAGTACTCCCCCCAGCCCTCTTTCCCCACAGCAGCACCAGGGCCGGGGGGGGGGGGGGGGAAGGGAAAGGAGAGTGTCTCTCCCTGCGGCAGCAGCTCCAGGGCTGGGGCCACAGGATAGGATAGGCACCCCACCTCTGGCTCCCGCAGGTCTGGCCAGAGCTAGGTCAGGGAGGGGCACCCTGGCCGTGACAGGCCCAGGCTGAGGCTAGATTCAAGGACTGCCACCCTGGTTCGTGCCGTGCTCCCCTGCCTGGATTCAGGCTGGGGTAGGGGAGCCCCGGCTGCAGCAGGTCCAGGTTATGGCATAGTTGGGGCCAGGAAGCCGCCCCAGCCCAGCAGGCTGGGGGCCGGACAAGGTTGGGGCTGGAGGAGGGAGGGTTCCCTGAGCACCTGTGCGATGCTAAATAGGCTGCTGCACGGCCATGCAGGGAACTTAGCTGGTAACTAATCCAAACTAGTCTATGATCCAGCGGTTAAAAAGATAATAACTGAACAAAACTTTACCATCACATGCTCAATGTTCAATTTGTTATAAAATATTAGAAAAATAACACCCATCTTTTTAGTTCTAAAGCCCTTAACGTCTTTTTCTACTAGTGTCATTGGTTCAATTGTAATGACAGATCAGTAGTCACAAACTGACAATCTCAGTCATTTAACTTCTGTCATGATGCACAGTACGAGACTTTTTGCCCATTTCCTAACTACAGAAGAGTTAAGAAATTAGTTCATAACAATATCCAAACTGCTTCCTTTCCCCAAGTGTACTTTTAAAATTATTTCCTACTATGAAAATATGTAACTTAGTTCTGGAATTTGAATTTTCAAAGTAAGGGGGAATTTTCAACATGCACTTATCCAAAAGGACAGCTGCAGAAGAGTAGCATTTGTCAGTCTATATTTATCTTCCAAAGTAGTCACTAAATGGGAGCTGCATCATTAGCCTAGGACAAATATTTTTGCAAGCAGTCTTAAAGTTCCCAATTTGAGTGCTCTCAACATTAACATAATGATGGGAAATGTGTTATGGATTAAGTTAATGTGTGACTGCCCTGCTTTTTGAGCAGTGAAGTCTAATGCATACCTTTAAAACATACAGCAAAAATATGTCTAGGATGCAGGCAAGTGGCAGAGGGGAAGAAGGGGGAAAAGGAGACAGCAGTGGATCAAGACTGCTTTACAGGGGCTCCCAATTCAACCACTTTTGATATAATGGACAAATATCCAATTTCTCTTTAAACAAATTCTTGTGTGTGGGGGGAGGGTGTGTGTGAAAAGAGCAAAAAATTGTTGACACATTTTATGAAGTGTGGGCAGTTTGATCCATTAAACTAAAATGGTAGACCAGCTTAAGTCGACACTGAGCTCTGACAATCAAGCCCAGGGAACCAGTGAAGGAACTTGTATGAACTTACAGCGCAAACCGTCAGCAGACTGGGAAGAGTTTTGAGGGTTACGGTAAATGTTCAAGAGGGCAATGGTCTGAAATACAAAACGCAACAACTTTATATTATGGAAAAGAAATTTAACACGAAACTGGTTTCCTTTTGGTGATCGCTTTAGCCGAGTCTCAGTGCTGAAAGAGAGGTAGTTATTTTCTCCCAAGAGGGGAAACTTTCACTTAGCTGGTGACCTTTCTGAACCAACCTAACACTGTAAAGCAACAGAGATCTCATGATACTTGATTACTGTATTTTTACTTTAACAGTTACTTTGCTCACCTCCATTACAATTGAGGTGTTTACATGGGGTTCAATCAAAAAAAGTTTCCAATATAATGAATGGTATCCAAGTGTCATAGTAACAGCTGTAACATGTAAGGTATCAGCATACTCAGATGTTTGATTTTGGCCTTATTGAACAATTAGTGAATGAAACAACCCCTCAAAACACACTAAAACCAGCATAGACTCTAATGTATAACACAGTAATCATGGTATAACATGAAATCTCCATTTCCTAAAGAAAGGAAAGGTGAAATAAAATGCATGATTTTGGGCAACTTACCGTATATCATAAATATACCTAAGTTTTCATATTATATCAAGAATTTGAGAAATGCTTGCAAAGTAATCATTTAAAAAAAATGAATGCAACAGTAAGTGACAGGGCTTAACAGTTACAGGATGTAATGCTCATGAACTGTGCAAATGATTTTGAATCAAGGAAGTCCAATTAGTTTATCTTTCACTTTCTGCACTTTATAAACACGTACATTTACCAAGTTCTTGATATATGCGCAAGAAGAGTTCCATCACTTGTCCTGTTTGCAACAGCTTTATGTCAGCAGCTCAGAAGCCAACATTATTTTCTCATAATTATGAGTGGGCTCTTTAACACCATTCTTTAAAAAAATTTCTCCAACTGTGGGACTTACAGTGTGAGCCGTCAGCCGTCTGTGCACTGTTTTGGGGATTACGATAGATGTTTTGAATCAAGATGGTCTGCGGGGAAAAAAAATAAAAAGGGGAATTCTACTGGCTGCTGTGCATATAACAGACAATTGCAAAGAGACAACTATTCATAAGATATTTCCTTTTGTATTTGCAGAGTATCTTCTGAAACTGCATCCAAACCATCATATTATGAAAACAGTTTTAAATTAACCACCAAGAAAGAGCTGTGTTTGGTTTCCCTAGTGAACTGTCCCAAGTATATTTACTGAAACTGTTTATTTGAAGTAAGTGTATGACATCTTGTGTCATAAGTACAATGTCACCTTGCACTTCAAGCTGCTCAGTTATGCAGATACCCAAATTTATCTTAATTTAAATCAAATTCATTACTGTAAGCCTCGAAAAGCTGCATTTGCATCAGTGCACAGTACATAGCATGTGATGCTGTAAAGTCTTTAAACTGTTGCCTCAGATATCCAGTTTTTCAAATATCAACTAGATACCCGCTATTGTCTCATCAAGCAGTTTCTTGGTGGAATTTCTGTTTAAATAATATAATAGTTTTAAATGTTCACGTTTTCCGATCCTTCAATAAAGATCAATATCCTTTTAGCCCTTCTGCTTTTTACTTGAAGAATTAGACCAGGCAGGCTTGAAACCTTACATTTGTACCGTTCTTCTTAAAATCAAGTTGTCTGAAAAAACAAACCATGTTTAAGTTAGTAAACTAATATTACATAAAATTCCAATGTCCATATAACTGTAATAAGCTCAAAGAGATTTAGATTTAATTACTTAATATACAAGTTTAATGTTAGTTTGCATGAACTTTCATCCCCAATTGAATTTAACTGGTGCAACACTTTTATTTTTTGATGCCACCAAGAGATTAGAACCTGTTAAATTACATTTACATCATATACTGATTTTACTAACACATCAACCAAACCAATACCTGCACCAGTGGTGGCAACACAATAAAATATAACCATGGCAATAGCTCTCTATTAATAAGATCTGTTCCTCAATTTTCTATCACAGCTGATTACCAATATTTGCACAAAAGTCTTCCATAATCAACCTATTACATGTCAGATTCACTAGTGACATCACAATCCAGCTTGAGTGTAAAGTCCAATGCCATACACACACTAGACTGTGACTTCACAACATGACCCTGTCAAGCCCAGCAGTTCACTTCAACTGACATCAGCTAAACAAGGACTAAATTGCCAGAGAGAAAATTGCTGGTCCAGGTTATGAAACAATTACTTTTAAACTCAGGTTTAAAAAGTGATTTCTGAAAACACATTTAAGCCAGACAGCATGGATGGCAAGTATCCATTAGATGTGTTGTTACAGGAAATCAGTGAAAGAGTTAGGAATTGAACTCAAGTCTCCCTACAACTAGGCCTGCGCTAACCCACATATACTAAACAAATTTGTAATCGTCTAGAGGATAACAGGGTTATAAGGAATAGCTAGCATGGATTTGTCAAGAACAAATCATGCAAATCAACCCAATTTTCATCTTTGACAGGATTACTGGACTTGTGGATGGAGGAAAGCAGTAGCTATGATGTATCTTGATTTTACTAACATTTTTGACGCAGTCCTGCATGGCGCACTCATAAGAAAACTAGGGAAATGTGGCCTGGATGAAATTACTATGAGGCGAGTGCACACCTGGTTGAAAGACCGTACTCAAAGAGTAGTTATAAGTGGTTCGCTGTCAAACCAGGAGGGCATATCCAGTGGGGTACCTCAGGAGTTAGTCCTGGATCTAGGACTATTTAACACTTTCATTCATAACTTGGATAATGGAGTGGAGAATAAGCTTTAAAGTTTACAGATGACATCAAGGTTGGGGGAGTTGCAAACACGTTGAAAGACAGGATTAGAATTCAAAAAACCCGGACAAATTGGAGAACTGGTCTGAATTCAACAAGAGGAAATTTAACAAAGATAAGTACTTCACTTGGGAAGGAAAAATCAAACGCACAACTACAAAATGGGGAATAACTGTGTAGATGGTAGTGCCTTTGAGAAGGATGGGGGTTATAGTAGATCACAAATTGAATATGACTCAACAGTTGTGAAAAACAGCCGTGAAAAAGGCTAATATTCTGGGGTGTACGAACAGGAATGTCAAATATGTAAGACATAGGAGGTAACTATCCCACTATACTTGGCACTGTTGAGGCCTCAGCTGGAATACTGAGTCTAGCTCTGGGTGCTACAATATAGGAAATGTGTACAAACTGGAGAGAGTCCATAGGTGAACAACCGAAGTGATAAAAAGTTTAGAAAGCTGACATCTGAGGAAAATGGTCAAGAAACACTGGGCATGTTTAGTTTTGAGAAAAGAAGACTGAGGGGGGACCTGAAATCAGTCTTCAAATATGTGAAGGGCTGTTACAAAGTGGAATAAGATCAACTTTTCTCCATGTCTCTGGTAGGACAAGAAGTAATGGGCTTAATCTGTAGCAAGGGAGATTTAGGTTCGGTATTAGGAAATACTTTCTAACTATAATGGTAGTTAAACTCTGGAATAGGCTTCCAAGAGGTTGTGGAATCCCACTCATTGGATGTTTTTAAGAACAGATTTGACAAATACCTGTCAGGGATGGTCTAAAGTTTATGTGGTCCTCCCTAAGCACAGGGAGCTGGATGTGACTCTCTCAGGCCCCTTCCAGCCCTACATTTCTATGAATCCATATTGTAATATTAAAACAGCTTTTAAAAATACATGGTTTCTGACCACTCATTAGCATAGCTATGTTTGCAAGAGGAATTTTAAAGCAGCTTCTTAAAATGGGAGAACTCTATTGTAGACGAGATATTACAAGCGGTCTCTCCAGGTCACAGTTGAAGCATATTAGCAAGGCACTTCCACTGTTGCATATACTGCATTTCTGTGGCTAAATAGTGGAAACGCAGGAGCTTTCCTAACCACTAAAAATAATTTATTAAATGAGAAATCATCTCTTTACCTGCATATCTTGACAATCAGCAATGATAGAAAACAAAGTAAACGTAAGATGGATTTTAAATGTGGAAATTTTCCAGGAGCATGGACGATGTTCTTTGAGAGAACTGTAGTGCTAATAAATCAAAAATACATGTCAATCAATGCCCCTCTCTTTTTAGCCTATATCCACTCCTCATTTCACAGGTAACATTTAACCAGCCACAGACTGGACAATATGTAGAGCCAATTGTTGTATATCCTTAAGCAGCTAAGGTAGAGAAGCAATTCTTCCACACTCAATGGGCTAAGCAAGTGACCGCTAACACTTTTAGCCTAGGCCAAAGATCACGAAGGGGCAGGGGAATCTCTTCTGACCATGTCAGATAAGGAAACAAATTTGCTTTAAAAAAAAATCTTGGAAGTTCTCACATTTGGGATGGGTAGAAAATGCTGCCATTGTTTGTGATGTAATCAATCTAGGATGGTTTAAGTGCCTAAACATCTCTGAGAAAGCACACACCTTACAGTTAGCACTGTTTGGTCTCTACTATAGACAAGCTTACAACAGCATTGCTCCCTGCAACTATTAGGGAGATAGGAGACCATTATAAATGCTGGGGGAGGAAAATGGAGGAAAAAACACTCCCTCCCCAGAAAAAAAAACAAAGTTTTTTGGCCTCAGTTAATTCTGGATATGGTAATTATTCATTTGAAGTGCTTAGAACCTACATTTAAAGAGATATGTACATAAATTCTACAAGAGGGAACAAACCTGGCTAAATGTTGGTTTATTGTGCAATCGAGAACATCTGTCCCCGTGACGGCAAGCTCCAATTTTGAAATAAAATGAACAGTTGACTCTGCAAGTAAAAAAACAAGAGATAATTAGTCTATGGAAATACAAGGCAAGAGAATATTAATACGCAATTAGCATTTAACATAAAATGCACACTATCAACTTAACTTTAATGCACAATTACATAGGTCAATCAAACCAATAAAGTCCAAGACAGTAATGGAACTCGTTAGTTTATACTGATTCCCCCTCATCCATGACCTGAGAGATCTGCTGAACTCCAGGACAACCAAAAGCACACAGAGCAGCTGCAATCTAAAGTACTTAAGTGTACTTATTCAGTACCTTGTTACATTCAGCATCAGTCAGTGGGAAAATATTCTCACCTGTAACCACAATTTTTCCCATTTGTTTCTCCTCCTTCCTCATCCTTTCATTTCTCCCCTTCCTCTCTCTCTCTTCATCCAGGCAAGCCCTAATTCTTTCCTCCCTCTCAGTCAGCTTCAGTCCCATCCCACCAGCTAAAACAGTCAACAGTTAAATAGTTGACAGTTAAGGGATGTCTACACTGCAGCTGGGAGGTGTGATTCCCAGCACAGGAAGACAGACTCCACTATCATAGCTCCCCCCTCTCCCTGCACCCTCCAACACACAGTTCAATGCCCTGCTGGCTCCCAATGAAACATACAAACTGAACACATGGTATTTCTAATTTCAGAAATGCAAACAACTGCTAGACCTAGCCTTGACTATTTCTCTTTATAATCAAGAGGTAATTTGTACCACAGTAGCATAAACTGCCCATGAACCAATGAGAACAGGACTTATTTACCTTGGTTATGAAAAGTAAGCACAGGCTCTAGACAGTACAGAGAGCAAGGAGAGTGAAAACTGCCAATTAGGGCTATATGCATACACAAAGCATATAACCTTGCTTTTGTCTGAATTTACTTTTCTTTATCCATACACTCACAATTTACAAGAATTCCTTCACATTTCCTTTTGTTGAGCTGAAAAGGAAACCAACTTGTTTCCTGGCTATGTCCCCACTGTCCCCCCCGCACACACACACATACACCTTAACTGTGGTATGTTCACTACAGCGACTAAAAAGCAGAACTTAAATAATTGGTAAATTTCACATTGTAGCTCCAGCTGCAAAGAACACACAGAGGAACAGAGTGAAAAGCACTTAATTCTAATGGGCTGTGCATAACACATGTTGCATGTTGACACCAATGATTTTAATAAATTCCACTTTGCAGTCACAATTACAGGAATGGAAGAAATCTGAAGGGTGTTCAACTGTATATTTGGGCTTCTGGGCAGCAACTTCTATCACCAGATCACATCATGAAACATTCAACACACATTAAAGATTATATTCTAATTCACACCGGGCCTACACCTAGAATTTAGGTTGATTTAGCACAAAACTTTTCACAGCCCTGAGCAATGTAGCTAGGTTGACCTAACCCTCACTGTAATCACAGATAGGTTGATGGGAGAATTCTTCCATCAACCCAGCCACTGCCTCTCAAGTTTGGTCTACAGTGGCTCTCAACCTTTCCAGACTACTGTACCCCTTTCAGGACTCTGATTTGTCGTGTGAACCCCCAAATTTCACCTCACTTAAAAACTATTTGTTTACAAAATTAGACATAAAAATACAGAAGTGTCACAGCACACTTCTGACAAATTGCTTACTTTCTCATTTTGTATTAAATTTTAGTTTGTACTGACTTCGCTAGTGCTTTTTATATAGCCTGTTGTAAAAATAGGAAAATATGTAGATGATCTGACGTACCCCCTGGAAGACTGCTGCATACCCCCAGTAGTATGTGTGCCCCTGGTTGAGAACCACCAGTCTACACTAGCAACTTATGTTGGTATAACTACGTGGCTCAGGGGTGTAGAAAACCCACACCCCTGAGTGACACAGTTATACCAACCTAACTTCCTAGGCACTATGTTGATGGGAGGGCATCTCCTGTTGACAGTTACCACCCTCTTGTGGTGGATTACCTACACCAACAGGAGAAGACCCCTCCCATCGTTGTAGGTAGCATCTTCACTGAAGTGCTTCAGTAGTACAGCTACATCAGTGCAGTTTTGCTGCTGCAACATTTTAAGTGTAGACAACCCTCAGAGATGGATATATTACAGCAGTGGTCTCCAACCTTTTTACGCACAAGATCACGTTTTGAATTTAAGATCAACCCAGGATCTACCCAACCCCTTCCCTGAGGCCCTGCTCACTCCATTCCCTCTCTCTCTCTGTCACTCGCTCTCCCCCACCCTCACTCACTTTCACTGGGCTGGGGCAGTGGGTTGGGGTGTAGGAGGGGGTGCAGGCTCTGGGCTGGGGCCAAGGGATTCGGAGTGTGGGAGGCTGAGCCTGGGGCAGGAGGTTGGGGTGCAGGAGTGAGGGGTCCAAGCTCTGGGAGGAAGTTTGGGTGCAGGAAGGGGCTCAAGGCTGGGGGTTACAGTGCAAGAGACGGTATGAGGTGCAGGCTTCGTCCGGGAAGCGCTTACCATAGGCGGCTCCTGGTCGGCAGCGCAGCAGGGGTCAGGCAGGCTACCTGCCTGCCCTGGCCCCACCCCACTCCCGGAAGTGGCTGGCTAACCGGCCCCTTCCTCCACTGCAAAAGAGACTTGCCGGCAGCAAGCCACTTTCAGGAGCGGCGTGGGGCCAATGCAGGCACCTGCTGTGCCGCTGGACTTTTAGAGGTCCGGAGATCGTGATCGACTGGCAGAGGCTCCAGGATCGATCACTATCGAAGGGTTGGTGACCACTATATAACTGCGATGGAAAAACCTCTTCCATTGCTATAGTATGTGTCTAAACTATAGCAGTACTTGTAGTGTAGACATACCTTCAGATGCATGTCTCAGAAAAAAGAAAAGAAAAGAGAGTACCGAGTTCACTCCAAATCCAAAGCTAAAAGCCTAACTACAAAACCTCTAATAATTCATAATACCCTCAACAATTTCAACTCAGTGACAATTTCCAAGTTTCATTTTCAGTTCTCCTCACAAAGGATGAATGGGACTGATGTGGGGGTAGGGGAGGGAATCATGTGCAGTCCCTAAAGGGATCAAAAATGTTTGCACGATTAACATCAATCCCCTCCATCAAGTAGGCAGCAACATTAGCAAAATTCAAAAGCCACATACCCTCATTTTCTGACAGAAGGATGACCTGAGCCATCAAAAATCCACTTGGGCAATGACAGAATCAATGGCATCACCCATTTCTATAGAACCTAAGCTTGTTTTTAAAAGCAAAGCAAAACTGCTGGCCCTCGAGTTTGCAAAAATGAATCTTCCAGACATCAATCAAGTGTAACGAGGATACATTAGTGCTCCTGAATGAGCACAGCAACGGCTCCAGGGCCTTTACTGATCAGAGCTTCACGAGCAGCAAAGCGACAGCAGAGCCGGGAGGGTCGTTTTCGCTACTGTAACCCAGAGCAGCAGGATCTGGCTTGACGCGGCCGCAGGGTGTCGAGGAGGCGGCTCTATAGAGGGGGGCGCGGGGAAGGGAGTTACTAGCTTGAGCAGACTTTGAAAGGAGCCCTCGGCGGGGCGCTGGGCCCCATGCCCAATTGTTCACGGCTCCATACCGGGATACGAGGACCCGCCCGGCGGGAGGCGCGCCCCAGAGCGCGTGCCCGCAGCACGACGGCAGACTCTGACCGCCAGGGGGAGCGCGGGAGAGCACGTGGGGCGCTGCTCCGCGCGCACAGAGTGTTCCCCTCCCTCCCCCCCGAATGCGGAGGTGTCCGGGCCGGTCCCCATGGGGGATCGTCGAATAAGCGCGTGGAAAGGCTCTGTCGCGCGCAGCCCGCTTAGCGCGGGGTCAGTTAGCTCCGCTCCCCCACACGGCGGTTACCCACTGCACGCGCGGGCCTGGTCTCTGGGAGGCAGCGCGCGCCACCCAGTTTCCTCTCCCACCCACAGGAGGGAGCGCGCGCGCCGCCACGTTCCAATCACCAAGGCCGCTCCGCCTGCCCCAGGACGGAAAGCAATAAACTGCGGCGGCGGCGCAGGCTGGGCGCGCGCACGCGCGCTCCATGGCGCGAGAACCCAGCGAGGACCGTGGGGGGAGACCCCGCCATTATATGAACGGGCGCCACGAGCCCGAGCCCCGCCATCTCTCCCCTGCAGGGTACCCGGAGCGCTGAGCCGCCGCCCGTGGCGCGGCTACGGGCACAGGGCACTCACTTGTCCTTCTCTGTGCCGAAGATGGAGGCCAGATACTCCGCCATCTCCCACCACCGACCGACCGCCGGAGAGGCCCCGGCGCCGATTGAGTGCGTCACAGCTTCGCGCCGGAAACGCTCCGCCCCGCCCACCGCCTTCCAGCCACTGACCAGAACATGGGGGAGGGGCTGTTGCCGTCTGCGCATGCGCCTCACCCGCTTCCCGGCCGCGGCGGGGGCCTAGGGCCCGCGTTGTTCTCAGACTCAGTCAGCGCGGGCTCCCTCAGCCCCGCGCGCCCAGCCTGGCCCCGCCCCCAAGGCTCCCGAGCCTCAGCAGGGAGCCCGCGTGTGAAGCGCAGGGTCGGGAGCCCTACGGCGGCCCGGCACGTGCAGACCCCCATATGTCACGGGACTGGCTCAAATCAGCGGGGGTCAAACCCCAGCCGGGGCAGGAGCAGCTCGTGCAGAGCTCCCTCCCCCCCTTGGGGTCTAGTAATTGGGAATCTTATCTGAGGTTCCCACCTGATCAGGAGACTCCCGGCGCTGGGGCTTTGAGGGCAGCAGCTCTGCACTGTCAGACTCCTGCTGCAATCACAAGGGTTGGCAACACTGGCTTGTGCCCCTGGCCGGAAGGGTAGTCAAGGTCCAAATTTCTTGGTCAAGGTCCAGACTCCAGAAGAAAGTAATTTAAAAAAAAGGATGATCATTAAATAAAAAGATTTCAGGGTCTGTTCAAAAGTGTCTGGGGGTCTGGATTTGGCCCACGGTCTGGCTGTTGACTACCCCATAAGCCACCAGGAGCGGGCTAACAGCAGGGCAGGGCTATGCTGAGATTTGAAGAGGAAATAGCGAAAAGGTATAAAAACAAACCACAAAAAATCCTTTAAAGACATCAAAAGTAGGAAATTGGTATTCCCCAAACAGAGTGTATAGTGTGCTTCTAGTCCTATGTAAAGTTGTACAGTAACTATCAGGGTATGTATGGAAATCAGTGGAGAGGATTATGGGATGCTTCTTTTGTCTAAAACTGAAATAAGTGTCTGAGACCATCCCTAAACACACATTTTATACCTCTACTGAAGTGATTAGGACAATTCACGTGCATAAAGTTGCACATATGCATTTGTATCATTGGGGCCAAAAACAATCCTAATTGAAATGAACAGGCACTCCAGTTCTGGGGATAGGGGAATAAAAATGGCAACTGAAAAATGCACTGAACACTTATTCTTCTGGTTGGTTACAAAAGAGACCTTTACAAATACGTTTGCTTTTTAATATGCAACAAAAGTTTTAGTAACATTACTGTACTTTGACAATGGTTTCACCCAGTGAAAGGCATTCAGTTGATCTCTAGGCATTTGACAGCTGCACACAAACAGAAAATGCCACTTTGTGCGTCAGCTGAGCTAGTGATTGTCAGTAAGGGATGCATCAGGAAAACAAAATAAAATGAACTTGGCAAGAGCTGATAGGTATGAACTGACATTTTAAAATAACTTTGGACACAAACCTTTGCTCAAATATCTCTCTTAAAATGGTAACTGCCAGGCTTTGATGAATGGATTGCTGTATTGCTATAAATACTTGGGTCATTATCAAAATGCTTTATAACTTTTCTCCCTTTAAAAGTCCATTTAAAAATCCCAGCGGAGGCACCGTATGAGTTATATTTATGTAGTGGTTTTCATCTTGAAAGAATCCAGAACTCTCCTCTAGCTATAGACATACAGCACCACTGAACTGGAGCCACCTGGGTTCCTGCACTCAGTTCTGGGCATCCTGTTCTTAAAGATGTTATGTCCTTGTCCTAGTGCAAAAAGGGATCCCTGCTTCATGGCTCTGGTGAGACCCTGCTTGGGATCCTGTATTCGTTTCTGGGCACCTCAAAAGGCATCAGGACCCAGAGCAAGGGTTAGTCCCTTCTGGCATATTACTTTCAGTTGTTATCAGGAAGCTTTTGATAAACTGAATGGAGTTCAGAGAATAACAACAAAAATAACCGAGCCTTTGGAGGCCCTGATTTATGAGGAAAATTTAAGATAGGAAAATTTGGGTTGTTTGGTCAAAAGACAACTGGGAGGGGGAAGACATGGGATAATGTGCAACATTGTTAACATGAAGGAAGGAAAGAAACTGCGTACCATTAGAGCTGGTAAAGAATTTCCCATCTGAATCATTTTCGGAGGGAAAATTCACTTCCTGCAAAATCAACATTTTCTGCTTTTTTATTTTTTCCATCAGAATATTCTTCCCACCTCTCCGGGATTTCAGTAGGTAATCCCCAGAAGCCCAGAGCAGGCTGTTGGGAAGTTCACGTTCCTAGGCTCCAGGGCAGCCTGCCTTGGAGCCGGGGTTTTCCATAGGCACCGGAAGTAGGGGTGCAGGGGCATGCTGCAGCAACCCCAGGTTTTGCACCTGGCCTTCTGGCCGCTGGCCCCGCGCCCCTGCCGCCCGGGGTCCTGGCCATCAGCCCCGCTGCTGCTCAGGGGCTCCGCTGCTGGCCCCGGGTCCTGCTCAGCCATGAGTCCCGCTTGGCCGCTGGCCCCACATGCGGGGTCCCAGCTGCTGGCCCCGCATGTGGGGTCCTGGCCGCCAGTCCCTCACCCGGGGTCCCAGCCGTCAGCCCCATGCCCCTAGCTGTGGCCCCAGCCTCTGCCACCTTACCCCTGTCCACATCCCTCCCTCCCGGAGCCATAGCCCTGCTCCCAGTCCCAGCTCTAGGAGGTGGTGAGGGGCGTGGACAGGGTGAGAGCACCTCCGCTCCAAAAACTGTTCCAGTGCCACTGGGATTTCCACTTCCTTGACAGCTGCCTGACTCCCCATATGTTGGGCTGCAGGAACCCCAGGCAACAAAGGGAGCCTGGGAAACATTTTGAAAAAGATCAAAATGCATATTTTGACTATTTCAAGACAATAATTCAGAATTGCCATTCTGCAGGATATTTTAAAATTTCCATTTTTTGTTCTGCTTTGGAATTTTTTTTAATTTCTGGAATTTCCTACAGAATGAGAATTCCAGGTCCTGCCCAGTTCTATTTAGGGTGACAGTGCAGTATAACTTGGAGAAATGGGAAGAGATTAAGAATTTAGGCCAAATATTAGCAAATCTTCCCCCTGGAGATGAAAGGTGACAGGTTGAGATGTCCCTATGATGCCATGGTGCTGAATCAAAATGTCACCACATGGCAGTCTGATTGCTATGATAAGGGTAACATGTAACAGTCAACATCCTAATTTCTGTTCTGTGGCAGTATCAATGACTTCCAGCATGCAGACAGCTTGATGACAGCAGCTGATGGACAGGCTCTCTGATTCTACTCTACTGCTGATCTTCACAGGGGCCTGCTAGAAGGGCTTCCCCATGAAATGTCGTCTCATTTGCCTTTTGGGTACTGGAGTTCTGTGGCTGCCTGCTGCTTTGTGCCAAATGGGCTGGTCATTTGAAGTGCCATGATCCAGGTGGCAAGACTGCAATCATCCTGCAGCATTCTGAGAGCTGGAATGAGAGAGGAAAACAAACACCTTTTGAATGACTGTCTTTGTAAGTTATTGCCAAAGGACTCTGGTTCCTTTCAGGAAGTGGGCAGTAGCTACACATGAGACTGGGCTCAGATCTTCTGTAGAGAGGAAGGGCCACATTTTCAGCGCAAAAAGAATGAGGAGTACTTGTGGCACCTTAGAGACTAACAAATTTATTTGAGCATAAGCTTTTGTGGGCTAAAATCCACTTAATCGGATACATGCAGTGGAAAATACAGTAGGAAGATATATATACACAGAGAACATGAAAAAATGGGTGTTGCCATACCAACTGTAACAAGAGTAATTTAATTAAGGTGAGCTATTATCAGCAGAAGAAAAAAAAACTTCTGTAGTGATAATCAGGATGGCCCATTTCCAACAGCTGACAAGAAGGTGTGAGTAACAGTAGTGAGGCCCACTTGCACACCTAATTGTGTCCCTATACTTGCCTGTAGTTACTTCAGATTGACAGTTGTTCAAACAAGAACAGAATTTGGCCCAGTGTTTCAGCAGCTGTAAAAAGCAACAGAGGGTCCTGTGGCACCTTTGAGACTAACAGAAGTATTGGGAGCATAAGCTTTCGTGGATAAGAACCTCACTTCTTCAGATGCAGCTGTAGTGATCCCCCACTGTTGCTGTTGCTTTTTTCGTCTGCTCTCTGTGTGCCGAGGGAGACTGTTAGGTGCTTAGAGAGTCTCTTTAGATAGTGACTGAATCTGTGCTGTGGTGTTTATAGTTGAGCAAATACTTCAAATCCAACTTGCTCATATGCTGGGCTTTCATTCGCTCCAGAAGTACAGTGGGGGGAAAAAAACCTGTTATCTTATGTTATTATAGGGCAGTAATAGTGTCAAGCTTCTTGGACCAAGGGCCCTGAACTGTGCATTGTATAATGATACTTTGCAGAGCATGGAATTCCAAGACTGACACTAAAGAGACTCTGCAGGTTTGATTCTTCTCTGAAACCTTAGGCTATTGGTTTCTCACTGGTCTCTTGCACTCTGACTAACTCCATAGTTAATTGGATTTTGGGGTTTTCATTTTCTGATAACTTCAGATTTTTTAAAAAAAGCAGGCAAAATAATGCAACAACGATTGCTGGTTTTATTGGCTTCAGAAGAGGGTGGGAGAAGTGTTACTATCCCCATCGTACGGATGAGATCTAGAGATAGAGTGACTTGCCCAAGGTCATGAAAGACATTTGTGTCAGAACTGGGAATTAAACCCATGCCTCCTACTCCAGTGCCTTAACCACAAGGCCATCCTTTCTCTCCCTGTGGGGAAGGACATAGAGCTTTGCAACCAGAAACTAATTGAAAGAAGGAGCTATCCGTAGCTGCTGTAGATTCTGTAAAACTCTAGATTTTTTCTCTTATTTAATATTACATCTATATTTTTTCTTCTGTAAGTGAAATAGAGAAGGAACATCAGATCAAACAGTGGTAGTTTAGGGGGAGATCCTTCATCAAATAAGCTATTTCCATTATGCAGGTTGATTGTATGCTTCCCACTCCCCTGAACACCCCCCCCTCCAAAAAAAGCACAAACCATGTCAAATTTATCCTGAAAATGTATACAGGGGAGATTTTGTTAAGAAAAAAAGTCCAGTCATAAAAAGCTGCAACCTGAAAGACAATACACCTACTTAGGGCCCTA